ACTCAGTGAGTGCCTCTGCTGTGCTAGGATCTGTGCTGGGTGCAGGTACACAGGGCTGCAAAAGGATATCCGTGACCTCTAAGAGTTCACAGTGGGAGAAACAGATGAGCAAACAATGAGACCACCCAGTGTGAGGGAAGCCATCAGAGAGGAAAACCAAAGCTACGGAGAACACAACCAATTTCCCCTGCATTGTCCGAGGCCTGGTGCGTCCGAGGCCTGGTGCTGTGGAAGCACAGAGGAGGAGGGTGCCCAACCACCCAGGACTCAGGGTGGGTGGCACACTTTTTCCAGGTGTTCAAACATATACCTGGGAAAGGGTATTTGTCCCTGCAGGGTTAATCTTGGGCCAGACTTCTCAGGACTGGAGTCGCAGGGTCTGGAGTTACATCCACTGGCCAGGAGAGAACATCTCCCAGCAAAAGAACCCGATTAGGCCCTCCTTACCAAGCACAGAGCGTCCCAGCGCCATCCAACACTCTCAGTACCACCAAAAAATAGAAAGGAGTCAGGCCTTCCTAGAGAGCCTTGGGCGAGGGCCTGGCTCACACAGCCAGCTTTAGCCCGGACAGGAGTGGCATGAAGGAAGACGGAGCTGGTAGCTTCTTCCTCCTTCCACACTCCCATTGAAGCCTGCCCACTGTCAAAAGCAGGGGGACAACAGAAATAAACCCAGTTCCTCATTAAAGGGAAACCAAACCAGTGACTTCTGGGTTAGAAAAGGAAATAAGGGTTGGGGAAAGGGTGACTTAACCCCTCCCGTCTGTCTGGTTCCTACACCCACATCTTCTGTCTTTGGGGAAGCCTCCCACACAGGGTATGATCCACTAACTACTGCACTCCAGCCCTGAAAGGAGCCCTTTTCCTTAGATGCCCTGTTGGTTAGTAATGGCCAAGATGCTGGGAGGGAAGAAAGCAAGGAGGGGGGAGCGATGTTCTCTGCAGAGGGGGCAGCTGGCTTCCTTGGCAGCTGTGTGGGTGGCAGTGAGCTAAGAGGTCCCTGTTCTCTTCTCCATCAGTCTAGGGGGCAATCAGGAAAAAATGTGCCATTTTATAAGTTCAAAAAGAAAACCCAATCCACAACAACCTCCAAATTATATTAATTTGGTGGTAGCCTGACACTCCAGAAACCAATGATGGAAGCGGGAATTCTAACTTCCTCCTCCTGCACTGGGACAAGGTTAACCTTGTTTTATTTTTCCAGGATTGATGTCTGTGAAGCAAGACCGCCTGGTGCTCCATTCCCTGGAGGCCTGGCCTGACCTGGGCACCTCACCACAGCAAGGAGGAAGGCACAGAGCCTTCTCCTCTCCTTTTTCTTCAGAGAGTGGTGGCCAAAATAGAAGCATGATCAGGGTGAAGCCGGGGCCCTTCTGGGCAAGGGCAGAATCAAGCAAAATGGCATTAGCTCATCATGCAGGACACGTCACTCCTGTGGGTCTCAGGGCCCTTGTCCATTAAACCACCCACCTCCTGGGGCACCATGAGGATTAAACAAGATTCTGTAAGAGAAGTACACGTTAGAGCTTAGAACACCATATAAATGTCTGGTGTCCCTGTTGTTTTCTGTATTCCGGTCTTTCTGATTTATCCCTTTGCCGCTTTTTCCTCCTCCTTGCATCCCCCTTCCTCTTATCCCCCTCGCTACAGTGCCTTCCTCACCCCATAACAGACTTAGCATGTTCATAAGAGAATTTTTGACTTCCGTGGCCCCTGTGTCAACAGCAGAAATATAAGTCCCTCGTTATAGGGAAACCAAACCAGTGACTTCTAGGTTAGGATCTCATTTGGAAGGTGATAGGGAGGCCTCCACAAATATTTGCTCATTGAATGAAACTAAAATGAATTACACCAACAAAGAATGCCAAGCCTCTTAATGCTTAGCTCTTCCCAGGAGTATTAGCATTCTCAAACAGGAAGCTTGAATTTCAGGCATTGCTGACAAAGGGAAGGATCTCAGGCCAGCCTACTTGAAGTGATATATTTGGTCAGAGTTGCTGTTCCATGGCTTCTTAAATCTACAACTATTTCTTAAGACCCTTTAGGGTTCCTTTGAAACCAAAGCTGAATTAAAATACGAAACAGTGATTGAAAAGCATTCTTTGTTTCTAAGGAAAGAGGCGTGGCTTGGACATCAGAGGGCTAGGTTTCAATCCCAGATGTGCCAGTAATTAGCTCCTTGGACGCATTGTTGAAGATAACCAGCATTCACTGAGCATTTAGCATGTGTGTGGCTCCGAGCTAGGCGTTTATTCACACCTATCATTTTAAGAACTCTTCAAGGTGAATATTTTTAGAATCTCTGTTTTATAGGTAGGAGACAGGTTCAGAGAGGTCAAGTGTGGCGCAGGAGGGCACTCCCCAGTGAGCAGTGGAGCTGGGCCTCCTCCTGCCCCTGCACCACATTAAGGCACATCAGGTCCCTACCCGTGGATCCGTAAACTGAGGCCAGGGCAAGACAGGAGTTGCTTTCTAACCTTACTTTCATATGGTTTCTTCTCTGTATTATTTCTGAATACAGGAAGAAGAGAAAATAAGGCTGGCCCTAAGAACTCATTTAGGAGCAGAGCTTAGAGGTTAGAGAGAAAGCTCAGGGGTCAGGCTTCCCAATTTAACATACTAAACCACTAACCTCGGCAACGTGGGTAGAGATGTGGCACCTACCTCCTTCCTGCGTTGGGATGAGAATGAGTCATAACTGAGATGACGCCTGCAAAGGGTACGGCCCAGTGACCTGTGCTTAGTGAGCACTCCATGAATGTTAAATATTTATTAACCTAATAATGGTTACTATGAACATTATAAAAGAAAGTATCAGGCGACTGAAAGGGAAGTCCACAGAGAAGTAGGTGCCCACAGGAGAGCCAAATTTCTCACGCCAGCCAGTCTTGAGAAGTGGCTGTAGGTTCAGAGGCTCCCAGGGCCACCGTGTCAGCCCAGTAGATGTCCAGGGGAGCTGAGGAGAGCCCCCATCAGCAGCAGGGGCAGCAGAAGAGAGCAGCTGAGAGGCAGGAAGCCCAGAGCCCACAGGAAACATTAGCTGGAGAAACAAAGTGTGCTCGGAAAAGCCCAGCCCATGTGAGGACTGGAGGCTTGAAGCTTGGGAGCAGGAAAGGGAGCCCCACAAAGAGTCCAAAGTAACTGGCTGTCCACAGTGATTTCTGGTATCTGCACTATTTTCTCTGATTACCAAAGTAATACATTGTTACTTGACAGAGCATTACCAAGTATTGGTATTTCACCAAGCTTTACCTAATGCAAATAGCTGAAGTCCCTTATCCGAGTTTTTTAAAATCTTTCTACTGAAGTTTTGTACATAAAGAAAAATGCATAAGTCATACTCAATAAATATTCCTAAAAGTGAGTCCACTTGGGTAGCCAGCACCCAGATGGTGGGACATAATGTTATCAGAACACCAGAAGTCCCCCTATCTGCCAGTCATTGCTGATGCCAACAGGAATCTATCTTGATTTATTTCACCATAGATTAGTTTTACCTGTTTTAAATTTTAAATAAATGGAATCACACAGAATGTACCCTTTTATGTCTGGCTTCTTTCACTCAGCATTACGCTGAGAGTCATCCATATTGCTATTTAGTATTTTATTGTATAGGTATACCACAATTTATTTATTCATTTCATTGTCAAATACTGATTGGTTTTGGATAGTTTCCAGTTTTTAGTTTTTGCCATAAATAATGCCAAAATCACTGCCATACATGTCTTTTAGCTAACATATATACTCATGTCTTTGGGGAATGGAATTGCTGTGTTACAGGGCTGCATATGTTCAGCTTTGCTAATGATTGCTCCCCAAAGTTTTAAAAGGATATTCAAAGTATATATGAGATGCCTGTGTGGGTTCCTGGAGAAACTTCAGAGTGTCACAACTCCTAAGAGAAGAGGGGAGGAGAGGACAGCAGAGGAACCCTCGTCCAATGTCCCCCTGTTGCATCCCTCTGTCTCCAATCCACCCAGGACACAATGACCCCAAATTCCACTTTCATCCGGTTACCCCCCCCATTGACCCTCCCCAACAGAGGTCTTTCTTTAAACTCAACCACACTTCCAGGGTAGCACTGGATCACATACCTGTCTACTAGCTGGCTTTGGACTGGATTTTAGTCCTTTCCTATATTCATTCATCCATATAACAAATATTGAGTGCCTACAACTCAATTGCATTGTTTTAGAATCTGGGATTGGAGCAATGTACACACCCCTGCTCTCACGGAGGGAGAGGTAGACAATGAACTAGCAAGAACAGGTTGGCTACGATAAGGGCTGTGGAGAGAAAAACAATACAGAATAAGAAGAGTTGGGTAGAGGAGGAATGCGGTGTAAGAGGGTGGCCGGGGAAGGCCTGCAAGGCAGGCAATATCTGCAAAATGTTTTAAATGATCTCTCTGGCTATTATGTTGGAAATGGGCTCTGAGGAAGCAAGGTGGGGAAAAGAGACAGAGGGCATGAGTCTAAGCAAGAGATGACAATGGGCTGGGCTGGGGTAAGGTAGGGGAGGAAGTAGTGGGGAGTAGCTGCATTCGGCACGTGTTCTAAGGGTAGGGTTGACAAGACTTGGTGATGGATTGGCTGTGGAGCCTGAGAAGGGGGTTCACCAGGAGCAGTACCTGCTTGCATATCCAGCACAGGATCCGGCCCTGAGTCAAGGCTCTGCTGACTGAATGGATGGCTAGTAAGCTAGCCACACTTCCTGTGTAAGGTCTATTCTCTCTCATCTCAGAGGTTTAAGTAATAAAACGAATAGTTGGAGTCCCAGCTCTGTCATTTACCAACTGTGAATCCTCAAGGCAAGTTAGATAACCTCTCCAAGTCTCAGTTTCCTTTTGGAAAAATGGAACAACAGTACCTCCATCACAGGGTTGTTGGGAATACTGAGATAGTGTACATAAATAGGCCTGGCATAGCACCACTACCAAGTCAGGCTTAGAAAAATACTTCTGTAAACCAGTTCCCAGTTACAACAAGCAGACACATGGCTATGGAATAAGGATTTTCTTTATTTGAATTGCAAAGTATAAATATGAACCAGGTTTGGAAATACAGGTTGTAACAGTTCAGAAATGGCACCAGAAACTTCCAGAAGGGACTATGACAGCATACCTTTGTAGTTTTAGTGAGGTGGGGTGGGTTTACACAGAAGCCCTCCTCACCTCCAAACTTCTTTGTAGCAATCGATAGGTTACTGACTACCAAGAACAGTCAGCTCCAATGTTTCTGTTCTCCTCAGCCTTTTTCTTGGCTAACACCTTCTCTGGATTACCCTCTGCTGCACAGACCCCTGCATGGAGTAGCGCCGGAAGAAGAGCGGGAGTAGAGAAATGTCTTACACCGGGGAGAGGGAGTTCCCACCCTGTGGGCCTGGGGCTGTGGTGGAGGAGGGGCCAGGAAAGCTGCAGGCAAGGAAGCCCAACCTCCTGAGAGTCAGCAGGAAGAGGACACAGGGAAACACCAGTGTCTGTTACGTTTGGACATCAGCACCTTGGGCTTTCAAAACACAAAATGTAGACAAAATTGCCTAGGCAACACTGCAGTCCGACTCATAGAGTGGATCTGACAAAGTTAACTCTTACATCCTGACCATACCGACTCCGAGCATCGAAGATGTTTGGAAATGTGGACAGATGATAGATCCCTACCGATGGTCACAGAGCCATCTTGGATTTGCAGCAGGGGAGAGTGATACTGAGCCAAGTGGTGGGGGATGCAGGGCGGAGGGCCAGGAAATTGCCCAAGTAACAGTCTAGGCACTTGAAATATTATTGTTAGATTGTTAAAAACTAAATAAATTAACATACATAGAATAAAATAAATATATAATTTAAGAGGCATTTTACAAACAACAACAAAAAAAATAGTTGTTATTTTTCCATCTGGGTAGAAGTCCCAGAATTCAGAGTTCTCAGGCTTGGGATATTTCACAGTTAGCTCATCAAATCCAGCTCCACAGGGTCCAAATGGCAGGGCCCTCGGTGACTTCTCGAGTACATGGCTTCTCAATCTTTGTTACTTTCTTCCCATCTACAAACGTTTCATTCTTCCTCTCCTTTTTTTTTCGGTCAAAGATCCTGGAGCATATAGAATGTAACTGGCATCTTAATCCAGAAGATAAGTGTTTGAACAAACTCATGGGGGGCAGTAGGGTTGGGTGGAGGGGAATCAGAAGGGCACGAAGGTCCTTCACGTTTGCTTTCTTCTGCCCCAGATCCTGTTGGACATACTCTGTTTGGCACTTGAAGGCTCTGGTATTTTGGCAAAGCAGTTACGGGAGGTCCAATCTAGGTAGCAACTGGGGACAAAGGTGTCTTCAGAGCTAGTTGTGAAGTCCTTCGCCTCTGCAGAGTCCGCGATCAGCCTGTGTCTTCTCAGAGGTAGCATCCCCAGCCAATTCCTAAAGCACAAGAGGAAGGCATTTAAAGCCGGAGCCAGTCTTAGATTTTGAGAGTCTCTCAGGTCCAGTTTAAGTGGAAAGGTCATCTGGGAAAGGGTAAAAAGGGGTGGGGATGAGGACAGCAGAAGCTGTCCTCTTAGATCTATCTCCCTTCAGTATCTCTCCAGCACCTCTCACCCTAAGTGGAGATAAAGCACGGATGGCCTTTCTGAAAACAATTCTGCATTGTGACCCTGTTCCCCAACTCCTAAACCAAGAGAGGAATTCAGTATCCCTTAAAACAGATGCAGGAAAGGTGAAGATGGCACCACAGGGCAAAGGGTGAACCATTACCTTGAGCACAGGTCTCTCTCAGTGGGAAGTGGTCATGCCCAACTTCACTTTCTCCTCATTTTCCACATCATAACCTCCTCTCCTGTGGTACCTGAGGAAGGAAAGTTTTGTGAGCAAGTTCTGCCTGCTACACCAGGATGTAGGTCCCAGAGAGGGTTCTTCTAAGGGACACTGCATGGTGGTTCCCTCGACTGCTCAGAGAGGCCCAGGGGGTAGGGCAGCTCAACAAACCTCGGGTCAAAGGACCAGCTGCCTGTCTCTGACAGCAGGCTACATTTGCTAAGACCTTTCAGCTCATTTGTACAAGCCTCACAACATCCTTATGGGAAGGTGGACAGAGATTACAATCACTGGAAGATTATGACCCTTAGAAAGATAGGTGACTTGGTCCAGGTCTCGCAAGAGATGAGCTGCACTGCTTGAAAACAGGCATGGGGTGCTTGGCAGGTCTCCCCCACTTGAGAACATAGACCCTGGATAAGAAGCATGGCTTGAGGTCCCGATGCCTCACGGTGGGAAGTGTACACCAACTTGAGCCTTAACCACCAGAGCACACACTACCACCATCAAAAGCAAGCCAGGAGAAAGAAGAATGGACGTGAAAGAGTTCAGGCAGAGCCCCCGGGGGCTCCCAACACGCACCTAAACATGAGAAGTCCCACGATGACAAGCAGACAGACAGATGACAGCACCACCGCCACCACAGCCAGGATGGTTGTGTGGTCGTAAGTATACAAGCGATTTTCCACCGGGAGGCTCAGCCCATGGCATCTCTCTCCGTGGTAACCTGGGTGGCAGCTGTTTAAGAGAGAACAAAGCAGAGACAAGCTTAGTGGTTTGGCCTCTCTCTTTTGGCAATGGCCCACCTACAGAAGCCGAATCCCAGTCCTCATGCCCTCAGCCTATCAGCCACTGCCCGTAATCTCTTCCTCCAACCTTCTCTGGTAGGAGGCTCTCTGAAAACCCCTCTGAAGTCCGGTGGCCTCCCTCACTCCTCGCCCTCCACCCCTCCCCCGCCCTCTGCTTCTCTGGCCTGAGATTCCTGCTCCAGGCAGGGAAAAAGTGAGGGAGGACTTCAAGGTCTCAGCTAGATGTGCTCCACGTGTGGATAATTAACTGCATGTGTGCGAAGACATTCTTTAAGCCAGTCAAGAGGACTGGGCCCCAGACTTAGTGGGGTGAGTTGATTCAGTATCACTCCCTGTAGTGAGGCCCCTCAACATCCTGACCAGAAATAATCTCAGCCTTCCCCATCAATGCTTCGAGCGTCCCTCTCTGCCACTGCCCAGCCTATTAATAGGTCCTGTTCCTTTGCCAGGAGTCATTTTTCTCAAATTCCCTTCATTTAACTCCCAGCTCCTCCTGGGTGCAGGACCCAACTTGAGAGTTTAACCTCGGCCTTTGGCCTCTGAACGCTGGGCTCGCGGGCCTCCTTCATCACAGGACAAAGCAAACAAACCAAGCTAACCTCCTGCCCAGCTGTCCTGCCAGAGCACGGAAGAGTGTCAGAAACAGCCCCTTCGCTCTTCTCACTCAAAAAATAAGTCATATGGCACCTGCCTCTTCTAACACAAATCATTTCCAAGAAGCTCTTAGAAGATTTGGAAGTGCTTACAGGTGAACAAGAACATTCATGTCCCTTCCCTTATCTGAGCACCCAAGGGACCCCTGACACAGGAGGGAGCCCCACGGCGAGGGAAGGCAGGGAAGAGATGTGGACTTGGATGGCCTGACTCTGAGCTCAGTGTGCTCCCCTCTGCCCACAGCTGCCCACCCACCAGCCAGGCGGTGCCGTGGCACTGTCTGCCTGGGGTCTTGCGGCTGAAGGAAGCACTGAGAACCTGGCAGCCCCCCATTCTGAGCTGCGCCTTCCCATGGGAAGCAGGTTGTCCACCTGGTGCCTCCCAGCAAAGGATCCCTTCTTCCTACTGAGACACCCTGGGTAAGAGGACCTTTCTAGACCTAGCAGCAGTAGGGGGCCAGGCTACCCCTTCCTTCCTGCCCAGCGCCTCTCCCTGCCCCAGCTCCTCCTGGGTGCTTTGGGAAACCGCCTCTCTGCAGAATAAATATAGGTCAGGCCCACTGTACACACAGCAGAGCACCTCTCCATGCATCTGTCCCAACTACCCAAGTGGGCAAGAGCTGCCAGGATGTAGGGGAAGTTCTAAGGAGTGCCCCTGGGAAATCACTTATGCACAGCAGTTCACAGCTTAGAAGACACTATTCTTATCTATTAGCTCAGTTGAGACTCCCTGGTAGGCAGGGACAGCCGCATTTTACAGACTGAAAGACTAAGAGTAAGGGTCAGAAAGATTAAGTGATTTACCAAAAATTGCACAGCTTCCTAAGACTAGAAATCAGTCCTGGTATATCCAAATTCATGATTCTTTCCACTGTGAACAGGGCAGGTTACCCCAAGGAAACACTTATCTGATGGGTTGACGGGTTCATGAGGGCTGTTTGTCCCTGATCTCTGTCCTTTTTTTTATTATTATAACTTGAATAATAACTAATAATAAATAGCAAACATTAAATGGCTCACTCTGAGCCAAGTACTCTGTGCTAATTGCCTTACAAGGATCATTTCATTTACTCTTAAAAATGTCTCTGTGAAGGAGTTACTACCCTCTTTTTAAAGATGAACAGACTGAGGCTTAACTTCACAAATAATTGGTCCGGGGTTATAGAGCTAGTGACTGGTTAAGCCAGGACTCAAACCAGCAGACTGGACGACTTCAGAGACTGTGCCCTCCTGGGGGGAGGGAAGCTGAAGCTCAGTCTGTTTTTCACTTCCAGCCCATCTTTCAAACCCCACAGGTAGTTACTCAGATGATAGAAATAAAGCTTGGCCTCAGAGTTCCACGATTCAGTTACATAATCTCTCCACCCCCATCCTGAGTCAAAAAGATAATAATGCAAACATCCTAATATTACCCACCTCCCCCTCCCTTTGCAGACAACTCCTGGCTTCCCCAGGGAAGGAGGGGGGAATGAGCACATTCCAGGCATCCGGGGTGGGGACAAGATCAAGTGTCTTGCTCAGAGCCAGCGACCCATCAAACTGGCACATGTTCCTCCTACCCATGTCTGTGGCCCACTTCAGAACTCTTATTACAATAGAAGCAAGATCTCTCCAGGGTCCAGCCATCTTCCAAACTGGGTTTCTCCACCCCTACCCCAGGGGTGGAGAGAACTTGGAACACAGGAGTTCTAGACTGGTTCTGCTATTATTTCTAGGCAGGTGATCTAGAGCAAGTTACTTATACCTTTCCAAGCTTTGATTTTCTTGTGTAAAACACAGGAATAATAACCTCTCTAGAGAACTGTGAAGATCAAATGATATAATATAGGTAAAGCATTAACAAAAGACCAAGCCCTACATATGTGTGAATTATTATACAATCTGACTCCAAAGGGTATGCCCACATCCTGAAGAATGGGGCACCAAAGTCCAGCAGAGCCAAGGAAAAGGGGGTTCACCACTCTTTCTCAGCATCTGGACAGTGAGGCCAAGTGAAATACCCCCAGATCTGTCTCTCATCCAGCTCTGAGTCCTCCTTAGCCAACTGTCCCCAAGTTTCCTCCAGCCACAGGAAACCTTGCAGCCAATTTGTGGGTCAGCAGCCAGTCAGAAGCCCCAGGAAACTGCTGCTCTTTGAGGGCAACTTTTGGCTAGTGACACAAAAGGGTTTTCCTGTGGATAGTGGCTGTAGAGGGCTGGTTTAGGAAGCCAGCTAGCCTCAGGCTCACCACGGCAGCCTGGACACACCCTGGCTGATGGTCTGGAGGCAAGGAGGAGTCACAAAGGGCTCCAGATATAAGTGCCCAGATGCCACACTCCCCCAGAACCAGGAGCTCTCTGTTGTCTTGCTGCCTTCTACTTTGAATACCAAGGGCTCTAGGCAGAAGGCAGCCAAACTGGACAAAGAGCCCAGTGCCTTGAAAATCTGCCTGGAAAACAGTCTTCAAATCAGATTGCCATGCTCGTAGGCTAGTAAAAGGTTTAAGAGATCTCTAGGATAACAGCTGCCCTCTATAAAATCCGGCTCAAACTGTAAGGACAGACAGGGAAGAGGGGTGCAAGCCAACACCCAGGATAGTCCAGGAGCCTGAAAAGCATGTTGGACTGAAAGTCGGGCACCTGAGTCCCTGTCCTGTTTCCACCCACTTATTCAGCTGTTGGTCTCAGGCAAATCACTTCCTATTTCCTGGCTCCAGCTTCCTCATCTTTCAAGTAGAGACAGCAAACCCTGCCTACCAGCAGGGGCTTTTGAGAATCCTAGGACAGGACTGTATCCCATCCCCAAACCTGGTGTTTCGTAGGCACCAAGTAGGTGCTCAATACACACCTGTTGGGCTCAACTCATGTTAAGTGTAAACTGTGAAGCTCTGGGGCAAAGAACTAGGCATTATGGGTATCATCACCCTCCCTCCAGCCACTTTGGCCCCAGACACCCTTATCTAGGTTCTCTGGGCTTAGGTGGTCAGTCACTCCAGGAGAGCAGCTGAGCCGCGAAGTCCATCCACCACCACCCTGGACCTACTTGGCCCAGACAGGTTCCTGGTCTCAGTCCATCTTGACTGCTCTAAGAGTCACTTTCTCTGCCTGTGGTCATGATGTCACCTTATAAATTAAAGACAAACATTTCCTGCCCTGTCCCAAGACCCTAAAAGGATAACATGGGGACTGTCTATGTCACCCATAGGCAATCCCTTCAATACTAACCTCCTGACAAGGATGTTATAGGAGAGGAAACACAAGCAGCCATGGACATGGTGAGGAGTGAGGGGTCTGTCTGCCAAATGCCAAACACACAGCAGTTCTGCTACATGAGCTCAGATGGGATAAGGAAGCTTTAAAAGCCAAGGGATCTGTGGAAGAGACGCCAAGAAGCCAGCCTTCTTGACAGGCTGGGAGGCAGTGTGCCTGGCCCTACCCCGAGTCTCCAGGTCACAGAGCCTGCCTCTCCATGGGACCTTGTGCCCAGCAGAAGAGAGTGGATGTCTGCAGCCTAATGCAGGTGCTGGCCTCAGGCATGGTGGTGACATTATGCCTACCAGAGAGTGTGGCAGTGTTGTCATCCCTGAGGGACTGCCAAAGCAGCCATTTGCCGGGTTGGACTAGGGAATCCACACCCCTGGCCAGGGACGGGGTGGTGCTGTCTGACCAGGAGCTGATGCCTACTGGGTTGGGTTCCGTTTACCATTAATCTTGCACAAAGAAAGTGTTTTCTCACCCTCATGGCCAAAGGCCAATATCTGCCATGCCCTCCACCTCCTGGTCCTTGCTGGGATGAGGAAGAAGTGGGGAGAGGCCTCTCTCTACTCCCACAATGACCTTGCCATGCCTCAGAATCAGCCCACATCTGCCCACTCATGTGCACATATGTCTGAGCATACACATACCCGCACGGTGTATGTCTAATGCTGCCTGCACAGCTCGGGAAAGAGGCCACAGGAGCTCCACTCCACCCAGGAAGCCCATTTGGCCATATTTCCTACTGGCTTCTCCCATCTGGAGTAGGGCATGAGGCAGGAATGAAGGACCTGCCTTCAGGTATCAGCGCTCCTAGCCACATGCTCATTTCTGAGCAAGCAGGAAATGTCCCCAAGGATGAAAGAGCGTCACAAACCCACGCCACAGGAAATTGCATCCTATGCGGGGGGAGCTCCTTCCGCTGACTAAAAATATTTCCCCTCCTCCCAACTTCCACTCAGAGGTTGAGAAGAAACTGGGTGGAATTATAAATTCAAGAAACAGTGACGACGAGGAACAGCCACGTGGTTGACAAAGAGTGTGCTGATGCAAGGCAGCCTTGGGGAAGGGACACTTACACGCAGGAGGGAGCACGGAGGTCCTTTACATATTTGCATTCTCCGTGGATACAGAAGTCTTTGTATTTCCGAAGACATGGGTCTCTCTTCTTCCCTAGCCCCTTGCCTTTCTTCTTTCTTTTCCCACGATCCTCCTTGCTTGGTGTGGCCAGAGATTGTGGCTTAGAGGAGAAAGCAGCTGCAGGAGAAAGGTACCCCGTTAAGCCTTTGACTCTACAGGGGAAGGAATCAGAACAGCACAGCCTCTGGGAGGAATATGTGCTCCCTCTGACCTGACCTGAAGTCAGAGCCTTTGGGAAGACCTCTAGTCTAGGGTCTTGCAAGGGCTAAAGGAAGACTGGGGAGAACTACCAGAAAGCAGTGGACAACTAGCAGCTAGGGGGTTCCCAAGGAAGGCACTTTGCAGACTCAGTATAAAAACCTCCTTCTAAGAATGCTAGCTTCTGTTGAGTGATTGCAACTGACCGGACAATTCTACCAACCTCCCCCCCACCCCACTGTCCATCCTATCTCCTACTCTCCTACGCCCACTTGGTTCCTTAAATAAGCCTCATTTCCTGATGCTGCACTCAGGAAGAGAGCGTCAGAGATAAAAATTGCTTCTGAAGAAGGTACTTGGAGGGTTTGCGGGGGGAGCAGAAAACTCCTAAATAAGAACAGTGCCCATGTCCAGATGGCCCCCTCTGCGGTACCATTAGTACCAGGGTACTCATGAGTCCAGGGCAGAGCCAGGCTCAGGGATAGCAAGCAGGCCATCCCTGATCAATGCTTTGCTTTTTTGACTTCAAGCAAAATATTTACCTTGCCCTTTGCACCTTACTGCTTCTCTCAAGGGTCCATTTACATTCATCCCCAAATGTTCTGTTTATAGATCTCTAAGATAGGAGTACAGTGTATACAGGGTAGAAAGACGGAAAGTAAGGAGCTATCCAGAAGGAATAGAACACAGTGATTCCTCCATTCTCTCCATACTTCAAAGGGGGGAAAAACAACCTCACAGAGACATCTAGCTGGGACTGACCGTGGGCTATGCCCATCAACCCCGGGAGTCTGATGCCCGTCCCCCTCTCCTCTGCCCCCAGCAGAGAAAAGGTACCTACTGTACCTTGGCTGTGGCCATGTGTCTGACAGAAGGGTATGCATCATACATCGGACTAGAGATCTAGGACCCTCAAGCTGGAAGTGACTTCAAAGAATATCATGGCTTTCCATTTAAGATGAGAAATTTAAGGTCCCAAAAGGCAGTGACTTCCCCAAGGTCATGCAGGGTCGGGATCAGAAATGTGGTCTTTGTACTTGATATGCAGTGCTCTTTCCCAATACACCAAGCTGCCTCACACACCCACTTCCTCTCTCCCAGAAAAGTCTAGAGCACCTGGGATGTTGAGCCAGGAATGAGACAATGAATGGGCTCTGCAGTCAGCAGACCTGGGCTCCAATTTCAGCCATGTGATATTAGGCAAGTTGCTCAATCTCCCTGAACCTTGGGGTTCTTGGTACAAAGTGGATAGCAGGAGCTCCTATCTCAGAGGGTTGATACAAGGATTAATTAACCCATAATAACACATTGAGTACCTAGAATACAGTACACACTTAATAAATGAGAACAGTTACAGCTGACCCTTGAAAAACACAGGGTTTAAGGGCACCAACCCCCAACATAGTCACAATTCTGCATATAACTTCGACTTCCCAAAAACTTAACTAAACTACTAATAGCATACTGTTGACCAGAAACCTTACCAATAAAATAAACAGCTAACACATCACATTTTATCTGTTATATGTACTATATGCTGGATTCTTAAAATAAAGTAAGCTAGAAGGAAAAATGTTTTTTCAAATTGTTGCAGCTCTCCAAAAAAATTCCCAATATAGTTATTGGGAAAAATCTGCATATAAATGAAACTGAGCAGTTCAAATCCATGTTGTTCAAGGGTCAATTGTATTTACTTTAGGTGATAGGATCCCCAAACTTGAAAGATAGTCTTTGCACAGCAAAGCCAGGAGAAGGGGCGCGAGGCAAGGCAGCAGCAATTCCACAGCCCCATTTCCTCTGGTGCTGGCCTGCGCACCTTCAGAGCGCAGAAGGTGAGACAGATGCTCAGAGAAACCAGTGACCAGAGCTGTGGTGAAACTGAGGCTGGAGGGCCAAGCCCATCAGAGGGGAGAGGAAGAGGGTGTCAGGTTGAGAGCCAGGCTCCTGCCAGGGAGAGGGAGAAGTGACTCAGGTCTGCAGAGGTATGAGAAGCAGCCATGTGGGTGGAGAATGAGTCACAGTCCAGCTCTGCCCAGCCTAGGAGGAAGGGGCCAGGAGAATCCAGGTTGCTCAGGCCAGGGGTGACCCTAGAGGGCCACTGTGAGAGGATGAAGGCTAGGAGCCCATGCTCAGCTTTGGAGCAGACCCTTGGTTTATACAGAGATGGCACCTAAGGGAAGCTCTGGGTAAGGAGGAAGGGTGGCTGAGAAGCAGGTGGAGATAGAACAGGTGGGTAGCTTTCCAACCAAATATAGTCATTCCGGGCTTCCAGGGCTCAGTCCCTGCTCCACCCTAAAGAATCGCTGTATGTGGCTGGGCCATGGAAATGAGTGATGCCAAGGGCTCTGGACTCTGCCCTGTGCTTGCACTCAGCCACATCCACATTTGCTGGTTGGAGGATTACAACTGGTCCTTCCTCCCTTGGAGTCTCTTTCAGGGACTCTAGGTGGTCAGGAAGTCTCCACCTTTGGATGGGATTTGTAGACAATCAGCATTTCAATATAGCTTCCTAGGGACCCAGTGTTCACCATTCATAGCCTCCCCAGAAGGGGCTGGCTTAACTGGGGAGAACAAGAGTTCCCCATTCCCCTGTTTCCCCAGCATGGAGACAGGTGGATGGAGGAGACAAACACTGCAGACCTACTATGCGCCTAGCGCCTCCACATCTGTTACTGTATACATAATGGTCATTTGATGTGGGAATTAGGACTTACTCTCATTTTTACATAGAAAATCTATGGGAAGCATCTCAACCATTCCTTGTCCCAATCAACCAGCCTACTCAGAAGAACGTAGGAACCCCAGATATGTTGCCTGTCTCAGTTTGCCCCAAAGTGCCCAGAAGGGCAGCAACTCAGCCTATGACACCCAAAGGGCAGACAGCGGGACCCATATTGCAGGAGCCTCCAGTTCGCTTGTCAGGCCGAGCAGCTTTTCCTTGAGGTCCTCCATGAATAGCCCCAACCCACGGGTGTGCCCAAACAGCACGAATCCCAGAATCGTTTATTCTTCCACTGCCCACCAGGGTCCGAGGGCAGCCCCCACACCCACCTCTGAAAAGGTCCAGGTCTGCCTCTTGCAAGCCCAGGACTTCCCGGCCCCCGCCGCCTCCTGGGGGCAGCAGCTGGTCCGGAGATTCGGTGGGAGAGTCCAGGTTGCTGGTTTCGGCCGCCAGCCCTCTCCGAAGCCGCTCCAGGCTTTCTCCAGTCACCAATGCCGAGACCACTGCGGGTGAGGGGCGAGGCCACATCAAAACTCCCAGCCCAGAACCCTGGTCTCCACGCACCGCTGCCAGCGAGTACGGGCCCCACCAAGTGGCCCGCCCCGGGGCCGCTGCAGCGACCTTCCCCGGTGCCCCCAGCTGAGCGTCCCCATCCCCCCGATCTCCGGGGGCGTCGGCAGCCCTCTTACCTGCAGCTAAAAAGAGCTTCAGCACCACTGAAGGCAGCAGCTTCATGGTCCCGGGCCGTTCGGAGGCGGAGAGGCAGCGGTCACTTGGCAGGAGGCGGCCCCCGGGCGCTGGCACGGGAGCCGGAGCGGGCAGAGCGCGGGAGATTTCGCCGGGCACAGGCTGCTGCCGGCCTCGGGGTGCAAGCCTGGCTGGAACTGCGTGGGGCTGGCGGCCGCTGGGCGTCTGTCTGCTCACTGCGTCCGTCCGCCCGCCCGCCCGAGCCCCAGCGCCTTGCTCAGGCTGGCCAGCCGCGCACCGCTCTCTCGAGGGACTGAAGGCTCGGCGGCGCGCGGCCGGGAATAAGGCTCCGGGAGGCGCCGAAGCTCCGCCCCGCCGCGCGCCGCGCCCTCCCCCTCCGGGGCCGGGACTCCCGCCCGGCGCCCGGCGCCCGCTGCGCAGCCCCCGACAGGCCGGGCGCTGCGGGGTGGGGGGCGGGAGCGGGGGGCGGCATTCGTGTATTTCGGGACCAGGCCCGGGCAGCCGCGGCCTGACTTCGGATAGGGCTGCTGACCGGCAGGTGGTGGAGGCCGGTTCCCACCTTTCCCTAAACGCTAGTCGCGCTGCAGCCTGGTGAGTGCCGAGCTGTTCTGCCCTCGGACTCCCTGCCCGTTCTTTCCCCTCTTCCAGGCCTGGTCCCTCCGACCATCCTTGCTTGATCCAAACCAGGGATCTCCACCCTCATGTGAGTTTCAGAAGCCCGCTTCTCTGCCTCCCAACACAGCAAATAGGAAATGATAATCAATTCATTTATCACTTAAAAGATAGATACAGGACTGCCAGCAGGTCTCATGAGCCCGAGGTAACTACAGTTGCAGTTGCAAGGACTTGATATCAATCCAGCAACAGTAAAATAAAGTAGTTTTCTTCCAGCCGCTGGAGTGGATTCCCCCACCCTTCCCCTAGGGGACATAAGTCTCCATTAGGATTTTTGAACCAAAGATTCTAACTCCCAGGCTTCTGGGACTATAAAAATACAGGTTGTCAAACAAGCGTCATACTTTTCCTTGCCTTTTGAACACCATCTTCTTCTCCAACATAAAAACTGAGCCCTGGGACCCAGGACCTAGCTGGCTGGCCTAGGCTGCCATGTTCAACAGGTGCCAGGAGGTTTGTGCATTTTGACAGGGGTCTTCTGGAGTCAATGCCGTTTACCCAAAGAAATGACTCTCTCAGTAGGTGTCGCAGCTCGCAGAGACGTGCTGGGGATGGAGTTGTCTGGCACAGGGTTGGGTTGGCATTCAGAGCCCTCAAATTGTGCCAGATAGAGCCGCTTGCCTGATTCAGCCCCATGTGCGGGGATAAAAACAGGCCTGCTATTTATATACAGTCTAACCCACTGTCCCTCCCCAGCCCCCTTTTGCAGGGGTCAGTGGGGCTTTGCCTTCTTAAACTTGCTCCTAGCAACCCTCCCAAGGCCTAGGTAACCATAGTACACTGGAATCACTACAGATGTAAGTTAAATTCCTGACTTTGCTATTTCCTGTGTGATCTTGGACAAGATATTTAATCTCACTGAGCCTCAGTTTTCACATCTCTCAAATGGGAATAACAATAATAATAATACCTCCTTGGTAGAGAGCTTTTGGAAGCTAGAGCAAAGGAACACATGAAAAGCGCCAGGTTTTCAGTACAGTGCCAGGCATATTATAAACTCTCTATAAATGTGACCTATTACCATTACTATCACTAACATTCTACCTTGACCACTCCATTTCCTTAAAGGCCTCTTTTCCCCTGCCCCATAGGTCTGAGGCTCCCATGTGGTGGTTGGGCTGGTTTCAGGTGGAAGCTCACCTGTCACCTATTTGGCCAAGTGCCACCCCGGGATTATTCCTTTGGGTGATTAGTATCAGGCCCAGGACCTCAGCGGAGGGTCACCACCCAGGCCACACCTTTGTTCTCCCTCAGCAGCTGCCTGTCCACCTCTTTCCCCAAAACAACGCCACCTTGGGGTCAAGGCTTTCCCCAGGGGAAGGTGGAGGGAAAGACTTCCTGACACACAGCCAAGTCACCCCTTTTCCCTCGACCCATGCCAGGTTCACACCCTGCTCTCCTGTCCCAGCCTGCCTCTCCCTTTGCATGCTCTGTCCTTCTGCCTTCTCACCCCCACATCCGCCTTAGCCCCATTCATGGGGCAACTCCAGGCTTTCATCACACCTGGAAGCCTCACCCCAGCCAGGTTTGTGTGTCAGCCAGGTTTTATGGGAAGGGCCTGGAAAAAGAAGACAAAAAGCCTGGAATGGTTTTGGGTCAGTCACTTACCCTCTCAGAACCTTAAGTGTCCTCTGACCAAAGAAAAGAATCACAATTCATGCTGGGGCAGCCTCATCAACTCATTTATTCCACAAACACTCATTGAGTGCTTTTCAGGCACTAGAGAGACAGCAATAAACAAGATAGCCAAGGACGTGCTTTCGTGGAGCTTTCCTTCTACAGTAGGAGAGACGGGCAACACGTTAAGTAAATAAGGAAGGAAAAATAGATCCTATGATAACAAGTGCTAAGATGAAAGTTAAAATACAATGATATGCTATAGAATGATGTGTTCCAGGGCTTGACATGATACTCTAGATTCATTGACTGATTAGCAAAGTCTTCTCTGAACAGGTGACAGGTAAGCTGAGACCTGAAAAAGAAGAAGGAACCAGACTTGCGATTATCCTTGCAAAAGCATTCCAAGCCATGCAAACAGTGCAAAAATGCTAAGCTTGGAGCATTCAGGGAACAGCAGGAAAGCCAGAAAGTGAGGAGGAATGTGAGATAACCCTGAAGCAAAGGCTAAAGGGACAGAGTATCAGAGGGCTTACAGGATGAGGCAGAAGCTGGATTTTATTCCCTATCACTGTGAGCATCAAATGAGATGTCAACGGGAAAGCACAACTGATATACTGGGTTATAAGAAATACATATTTGGTCATTCCCCGGTTATATTTGGTCCTTATCCACAGTTCCTGAAAACACTTCAGCTCCTTAAAGGTGAAATGGGTGTCTTGTCATGTTAATGAGAGAGTTTTGAACCCAAGGGCAGGGGCTGGAGGCTGAATCAGCCAGTGGCCAATGGCACAGTCAATCATGGCTATGTGATGAAGCCCTCACAAAAACCCAGAAGAGCATCTGCTCTCTCCCATCCTGCTTCTCTGTTGGAGAGAGCTACCACCCTTGGGGAGCCAGAACGTGTCCACGGGCCACCAAGCCAGGCCCCAAGCTCCACAGGGTAGGAGCTCCTTTATTAGGGACTTTGCTCTATGTACCTCGTCATCTGGCTGTTAAACTTGTGTCCTTTATGGCATCATTTATTAAACTGGTAAATGTAAGTATTTTCTTGAAGTGTTTTCCTGAGTTCTGTGAGCCACTCCAGCAAATTAACTGAGCCTGAGGGGGAGGTCATAGGAACTTTCAGTCTGTAGCCAGTAGGTCAGAATCACAAGGAACTGCCTGGGCCTTGCGACTGGCATCTGGAATGGGGGTGCAGTGTGGGACGGAGCCTTTAACCTGGGAAATCTGGTGCTGTCTCCAGGCAGATAGCATCAGAATTGGGTTGAGTTCTTGGACATCCTGCTAGTGCTCAAGAATTGGGTCTGTGTGTGGGAAGACACACACACACACACATTTAACCTGGGGAATCTGGTGCTGTCTCCGGGCAGATAGCATCAGAATTGGGTTGAGTTCTGGGACATCCTGCTAGTGCTCAAGAATTGGGTCTGTGTGTGGGAAGACACACACACACACACACACACACACACACTGGAATCAAGTCCGGGAACCCGGAGTTATGCTTCTGTGTATACTATTATTGACGTATATAGGAGAAAAAAGTCATGCAGGATTTCTTCACATCTGCCCCCTCTTGTACCCAGACCTCCCTACCTGCTCTCTGCTGTGGAGTGCCAAGGACACACTCCTTAGGAGGCAGAGTCCAAACAGGCCACTCGCTTTCCCTGACTGCCCATTGACCATGAACAAACTGAGGCTTGGAGACCTACTGGCCCTGGGCCACCAGTGAGTCACAAGGGGCCAAATTCAGAGCAGAAACCCTGACATCCTTCTTCCCAGCCCTGTGCTGGCTTCCCAGGCCTCTAGAAAGGCAGGTTCCATGGGACACGGAGTGCCACTGACTCACTGCTAGGCCACACAGACCTCAGGTGGGGAGGGCACTCATAAGCCAGTGGTGGGGAGGTGAGGGGGAAAGGGTGCTGGTAGTGACAAAGGGGAGAAGGGAACTTGGGGAGGGGACCAACCTGAGTCCCTTCCCCAGTGGGGCTGAGGTGTCTATGCTAGTAGATTGGTACTCCCAAACCTGGCTGTGCATCAGGATTGCTGGAAATGTATTAAAGATAAAAGGTCCAAGTCCCACCCAAGTCCTCCTAATTCAAAACCTCCTGGGTGGGGCCCAAGCATTTATACTCTTGGCAGGTAATTCTGACATCAGTCAGGTTCAGAAGCACTGGTCTGCATAATTAACTAGGATAACATGTCAAACATCTGAACAAAATGTGAACCTCTGAGGCAGAGGAGCTTTAATTAATGACACTTCCTGTGCTCAGCACTTCACATGCATCATCTTGCCTGATCCTCATAACTGCCTAAGACTAGAGACTCCTCCCCATTTTAAGGGGTTGAAGCTAAAAGGGTGAGTAACAACCCGAGTTCATTCAGCTAGTGAGACTCTCAGCCTCAATTTGAATTCCTCTCTTTTTCCCGGGTCTGTGCTCTTAAGCTGTATACTACCCTGAACGGAAGGGTGAGACAATAGCCCCCCTCTCTGCTTCTAGGGACAGTACTGCCATCAGCTCAACGGGGGCTCAATGCTCCCACAGTCCTGGGCTAGGAGAGGGGAAAGGATAAGAATCTCTCACAGGCTGGAAGGAGGACCAGGAGGTCAGGGCAGCAGGGCAGCTAGTGAAATAGGTGCACTCTCAGGGACAGAAGCCACGAGCTCAATCTCTGGTTCTGCTATTTCTTGGCAGCTTTCTAACTTTGGACATGGTATGCAACTTCTCTGACCTACAGTTGCCTCACAAAATGGGGATAATAATCGTAGCTATTATTAGGGCTTTTGTGATGATTAAATCAGATCGTGTGTATGAAGCAGAATATGATGCCTGGCACATAGTAGGTGCTTAATCAGTGACAGCTGCTGTTCAGAATAAATTCTTCCTTTCCTTCCTTCAGTTGTGAACTTAGACAGGGTGCTGCTTGGCCATGGGCTAGCTGTCCTCAGAGCTGAAGTGGTCCCTCCCTGACGGGAGATGGCCATGCTTACTGATG